CCTCCACCTATCAGATCTTGCCACACCCTGCCCCCCCTTGGCTCTGGCTTTTGTACTCAGAGTCTCCTCTGCCAAGTGCACTCCAACTAATGGCAGCCTTCCACCTGGGTACTTCCCCAGAACTTACAGACTCTCAGCTTAACCTCCTCCATTCCAATTAGTCACTGCTCATGGGACCTGTCCCCTCATCCCTGAAACTAGTTCAGGCCTCAGGTCCCCAATCTGCTGGTCCCTCCTTTGTCTGGAAACAGATTCCAAGTACCACACCATGTGCAATTCTTGCTTTAGGGGGTTTGCAACTAGGGTTAAGCAACCCAAATGGAAAAACTTTATTATGTGTGAGTCAGACACTGTGCTCAACCCTTTAAATTAGAATTCCTCCTTCCCAGTTCCCCCCATGAAGCATACCCTACTTACAAAAGAGAAAACAAGCCATGGAGAGGGCTAGGACAATTGCTCTGGAGCACTGGGATGGACATGGAGTTCTGACTCAGACCCACGTGGTAAGTCCAACTGACTACATGACTGCAATGCAGAAAAACACCAACAGGCACCAGTCCCTGCTCCCAAGAGGCTGATAACTCATCAAGGAAACTCGAACAGAGACTGGGTCACAGCTAGTCACCAGATAATAACAGACCACAGCTTTGATGGTTATGATTCTCTTCATATAACTGGCACCAGTTTGGTGGCTCCCTCCCTTCCTGCCTGCACTCTTCAGAGGGTTCTCCAGATTGGAATGCAGTGAGCAGGACTCAGAAGACCAGTGAGTGCCTCTCACATGTATAGCACTAGCTCCCTGAGTCATCTTCCTGCAGTCAGGCATGATGAATAAACCAGAAATTAATGCAAAAGCAAGTAAAAAGCAATTAACACACCTCTTTCAAAGCAGAAAATCAGTCACTGGGAAAATATTTTCTCATTTTTAGACAGGAATTCTTGTTCGTTTTAAACAAGTGGTTTTGTTTTTTAAAAAAAAAAGGTTATTTTTTTATAAATAGTTTTTTTTGTTTGGTTGGTTGGGGTTTTTTTGGTTTTTTTTTTTTTTTTTTGCTTTTTCAGTCACACCCAGCAATGAACAGGGGTTACTCCTGACTCTGCACTCACAAATTATTCCTGGTGGTGCTCATGGAATCATATGGGATGCTGGGAACTAAACCCGGGGTCGGTTGTGTGTAAGGCAAACGCCCTATTCACTGTGCTCCAGCCCCACAAATAGTTTTTTGTTAAGTTTTTTGGGTGTGCTCGAAGGACCTGAGTTAAGGTCTGAAGGCTGAGTTCAGTTCTCTGTATCTCCATATCAGAGAGGCTCCATCCCACTCACAACCACCAGAAGAAGTCACAGTGCCATTGCTGGGCTCTCCCGCAACTGAGGCTCTTCATTCTAGAAATCTATTTGTCAGGGGGAACAACTGCTTTCTTTTGGGGGGTTTTGTTCTCTGCTTTATCTTCCTTTCCTCTGGATTTGAATTCACCTTAACAGTGCGCCTAAGAACCCTAAATCCCCTACCCTCTCCCAGTAAAAGTTGAACCCCAAGCCCTGCTTGTACTGTCTTCCCCCAACGGCACCCCAGAAACCTCACTGTGGCCTGGGTACATGGTATGTAGTTTCCAGGTCTCAAGTAACAAGCCTCCCATTTTCCCAAATTTCTTCGTGATTGTTGCTAAAAGGCATCTTATGAAAACACTCAAGGGCTAATCATATCAACAGACTGGGACTGACAAGAAACAGTACGAAGGACTAAAAAAGCAGAAGGAACACTTATCTATAGCTAGGAGACAGCACTTATCACTTCCCACCAAAAATAGGACATGAGAAAGTGAGCTCATATTTGAAATCCTGGGAAATGCAGTCTAATAGTTGCTAATTTGACCTTCTCTTAAATTCTCATTTCATAAAACTCACCATGGTAACATTTTAAGGGAGTCTTTTACTTCTGACTCAGTCTAAAAGAACGGTGAGAAGTTGGAAACCTGGAGAAATGGAATGATCCTTGCTTTCAAAAAGATTTAAAACCTAAGTATAATGAATGCACTTGCTTCGCTTTTCCAGGCCCTTCACATTTCTTTGCTTGCATCACCAGAGACTGATTCAGTCGGAGATAGCCAACAACTGTGCAAAAGGATGTTGCCAAACAGGTTGGGTATATGCAGCTGGAACGAGTTCAGGTTCACTGCAGTTAGGTAGGGCCACGGGAGGGTGTTGCAACCAATGAATCACTTATCACTTAATCACTTAACTTCCCGTTAGTCCTCGATTTGCTCGAGCGGGCGCCAGTAACGTCTCCATTTGTCCCTGTCGCGTGCTAGTGTAGCCCAATGGCATCTGTTCACTCTGGGAACATGAAGAGCCTCAAACCGATCGTTCATGATCTTGATGAAGAAGTCTGACCATCTGGTAGGTGGGCGGCCACGCGGTCTTTTGACATCCCGTGGAATCCAGTCGGTACCAGCTCTAGTCCAGCGGTCCTCTTTAAATCTCATTACATGACCAGCCCATCTGATTTTTGACAACTTGGCAAATGAGACAGCGTCCCTGATTCTTGATCATCGACGGATGTTGGAACTCTGGATTCTTTCTCTCATTTGAGTGAAACGTGATATTCCAAGCATAGTTCTTTCTATTCTTCTTTGGGAGACCTGAATAGCATTCTCATCCTGTTTGCGTAGGACCCAGGTCTCTGAGGCATATGTTAATGCAGGAAGAACAGTGGAATCAAAGAGATGTGCCCGGAGCCGGAGGTTCTTCGTCCTCTTAGCTATTTCTTCGACGCTCTTGATGGCGTTCCAAGCCGCTCTCTTCCTCCTGCGCAGCTCGGGTGCCAGGTCATTAGTCATGTTGACTTCTCGACCTAGGTACACATAGGTGTTGCATTTGGAGATGGTCGTTCCGTTGAGAGCGAATGGGGCATCAGGAACGAGGCTGTTTCTCATAAACATTGTCTTCGTAAGATTCAGCTGTAGTCCTACCTTTCCACACTCAAGGTCAAATTCAGCCAGCATTTGTGCCGCTGGGCTGATGTTTAGTGTTATTAAAACAATGTCATCAGCAAAGCGGAGGTGGTGTAGTTGCCAACCATCTATCTTCACTCCCATTCCTTCCCATTCCAGTCGTCGCATGATGTTCTCGAGGGTGGCACTGAAGAGTTTCGGTGAAATGGTATCACCCTGCCGCACCCCTCTCTTGACATCAACGATCACTTCTTTGTAGAATGGTGAGATCCTGGTAGTGAATCCACAATACAGCTCACGGAGGATCCTGATATATTGGGCTTGAATGCCCTGATTGGCTAGGGCTTCAATGACCGCTTCCATCTCAACAGAATCAAAGGCCTTCTTTAAATCAATGAATGTTAAACAGAGCGGCATCTTGAACTCCCGGGAAACCTCAATGAGCTTGGTTATCATGTGGATATGGTCGATGGTGCTGAATCCTTTGCGGAACCCGGCTTGCTCGCATGGTTGTCCTTCATCTAGTGTTCTGCCAATCCTATTTAGGATGACTCAAGTGAACAACTTGTAGATGACAGACAATAGGCAGATCAGGCGATAGTTGCCTATGTCATGGATGTCTCCCTTCTTGAACAGTAGTACGGTCCTGCTGGTTTTCCACTGGGACGGAACCTTGCATTCAGACAGGTAGCGAGTGAAGAGCCGAGCCAGTGTATTGATGAGTACTGACTGCAGGTTCTTCAGGTGTTCAGGTCTGACCTTGTCTGGGCCGGGTGCTGTTTGCTTCTTTACTGACGAAATGGCGTGTCGGATTTCGGAAGGGAGAACGTTGGGAACGACATATCCATCCTCTGGAATTTGGCATGTCGGTAAGTGGACATGGCTATCGAAGAGATTTGAGTAGAAGTCATAGATAATATTCTCCATTGCCATTCTGGAGGATGTGATGGATCCATCAGGACGTCGGAGGGCAGTCATCTTGGTCTTGTAGTTGGCGAAGAACAGGTGGGCGTTACGAATACTTTTCCCAGCTTCTGCCGCATCTACCAGCACTTCTGCTCTTCTCTCTTTGAGGTCTTCCTTGATCACATCTCTGCACTGCTTTGGGAGCTCGGACGTTAGCTTGCAGTTGCCTGAGGCATGCGGCAAACCACGCTGGCAAATTAGCTCAAGAGTTTTCGAAGACAGGCTTTTTTTGTGGCTATCTCTCTCCTGGCGTTCCTCGCACATTCATGGAGGTGCTGAACAAGTCAATCGTATTCCTCGTCAATGTTGTCAACAATGGCATCTTCCCATGTTGCCGCAATAGTGCCAAAGAGTTCCCAGTTGGTGGTCGTTCTGGGAGTTCTCTTTGTGAACTTTGCAGCCCTTTCTCCCCGCTCTGTGAAATAGAATTTTGCACGAAGGAGACGGTGGTCTGATCCCGTTTGAAATTCTGGGACAACAGCGACATCGGTCAGACAAAACCGTCGATTGAATATGATGTGGTCTATTTCGTTGTGGAATCATCCACCGGGAGACTCCCATGTCCAACATTTACATTCAGCCTTCTGGAACTGTGAGTTACCATGGATGGTCTTGGTCGACATGATGAACTCAGGCAGTCTCTCACCCTGTTCATTCCATTCTAGGCCACGGGTCCCGATGTGAAGTTCTTCAGCTGATCTTCTCAGTCCTATCTTGGCATTAAAATCACCCACAATGATCTTATCAATCAACCAATGAAAGAAGAGTGAAAATGCTGCCTCTACTTTCAGGCTGGGTCTCAAAATTCTCTGGTGAGAACCTGCTCAGATTTCCTTCACATACCAACCAGAACCAGAAAATGCCAAGGTCTTAGCTCATGAAGCCACTCAAGAACACACAGAACAAGACTTCTCAACTCATGCTCAACTGCGACATGTGTGCTACTCTTTGTGGTGTGAAAGAACAGGGCTAAGCAGGGGATGGTGCCCACAGTGGAGGTTGCTCCCTGGGGTGAGTACAACTTGCTTTATTTCCTGATCTCAAACTGCGGGCAATCGTGGAACTACAGTAGCCACACCCACTTGTATCACTGCAGAGGCAATCAATGATCAGGCAGATTCCCAGGGGCTTGCTCTGCATCCTGTATCTCTTTTCCACCATGGTCTGTAAGAAAAAACAGGGATTGCTGAGAGTTCAGATTTTGCTCGGCACAGCAAGGTCCACCCACCTATCATTTCCTTAAATTCATCTATGGCGTTGAAGTCACTAAAGGAACATGACCTCTAGTCATCAGAAATATTACTAATTCATATCATTTTTTTTCCTTTTAGATGGAACATTTTCCTTAAAGTGCTTGAGAAAATTTTGCTTAAATTTTATTTATTTATTTATTTTGATTTTTAGGTCACACCTGGCGATGCACAGGGGTTACTCCTGGCTCTGCACTCAGGAGTTACTCCTGGCGGTGCTCAAGGGACCATGAGATGCTAGGAATCGAATCCAGGTTGGCTGCACGCAAGGCAAACTCCCTACCCACTGTGCTATCTCTCCAGCCCCTAAATTTTAAATGTTTATTCTCTTTATATATGCCTTAGCTTTGCAGAATAATGGCAATTTGAATTAAAATAGGTCATATGGGGGCCAGAAAGATAGTACAGCGAGTAGGGCATTTGCTTTGCATACAGTCGACTTGGGTTTGATCCACAGCATCCCATATGGTCCCCCAAACACTACCAAGAGTAATTCCCGAGCACAGAGCCAGGAGTAACCCCTGAGCACCACTGGATATGGCCAACAAACAAAACAAAACAAAAAAGTAGGTCAGATGTTTCCATAATAATCCAGAGGTTATATAACACTTTCCAAACCAGTACAAAAGGAGGTACCCAGCCTAAGCAAAAGCCTGAACATGTCAAGGTTTCATGTCACTTACTCAGTTATGTGGTTGTTAAGCATTTAGCTGAAAAGAGAAGTGCCACTTTGAAATTTCTCTGCACTGAAAAATTCACTAAGAAAATCCACTTCAGGGGGCTGGAGCAATAGCACAGCGGGTAGGGTGTCTGCCTTGCCTGCAGCCGACCCGGGTTCAATTCCCAGCATCCTATATGGTCCTCTGAGCACTGCCAGGGGTAATTCCTGAGTGCAGAACCAGAAGTAACCCCTGTGCATCGCCGGGTGTGACCCAAAAAGCAAAAAAAAAAAAAAAATCCATTTCAGTATTTTTCTCTAAGCAATATCCTGGAGCAACAGGGAATGCTCGAGGGATATTCCAAGCAGTGCTGGGGGACTACACAGTGACAAGGATGGGGCCCATGGTTCCTACCCTTTGAGCCAACAACACCCATCCCTCCCAAACTCACAAAAAAAGTTTATTCTGGCCTACCGCAAGCTGGTAGGGTAACCAGGTCCTGAGGATGGGGTGTTGCCTGGGCTCTGCAGTGCTGAGTGCCACCAGAACCATCCGGAGGTGCTATGTGAGCTCCCAGGCCATACCCAGTGGTATGCAAGAAACTGCAGGGCCACACCTCATGATGTTGAGGGAACTAAGGGGTTCAGATGATACCAAGGACTGAATCCAAGTTGGGCATATAAAGGCATACAAGGCATGACCCCGAATCCCTCTACTCTCCTCCTAGATGATCTATTTAAAGTTAGCGATCTCCACAGATATTGTGCATACAATACAATGGTAAAGAAAGTGATTCATTCTGTACCTGAGATGGTGCTAGTTCCCGAATGGATGTCTTCACTGGTACTCCTGGGGAATGAGAAATAAATCATTATAAAGCTGAAATAAAAAACTAAAGCTACTCCCAAGCACTGCTTCTTTCATAACAGTTCACTTATTCTATTTTCATCATTTACCTCTTTTTTCCTCACTACATCCAGCTCTAAATTTCCTGTCTCACACTGAAAAATTCAACTGATAAGAAAACACAAGTTCCCATGTTAAACAGGGCATCTACTATCTAGGTAACAACTGAAAAAAGTCTCTCAATGCCTCTTTTGCAGACCACAACACCCAAAAGGAGAGAGAAAACAAAAGGGAATGCCCTGCCACAGAGGCAGGGTGGGATGGGGGGCATGGGGGTGGGAGGGATACTGGGATACATGGTGGTGGAAAATGGGCACTGGTGGAGGGATGGGTATTTGATCATTGTATAATTGAAACCCAAGCACAAAAATTTTTAAGTCTACAACTGTACCTCATGGTGTTTCACTAATAAAAATATTAAAAAAATGATGAGATTTTAGTGAATTTGACATAAAAGTATGAAGAATACACCCCATGTATGTCTTTACTTACATTATATACTTAAAATAGTCTGTAGATATATAAATCAAATATTAAATAATGGTGGCTTCTAATATTTTAAATTAAGAGGTAATTTCACTTTATCTTTTTATATTTTATTTATCATACACCAGGAGAATTTTTTTTAAACCATGTAATATGTCCAGCCAGTTTTTTTAATATGAAATGCTTCACAAATTTGCATGTTATCTGTGCACAGGGGCTACGCTAATCTTCTCTATAGCATTCATTCCAATTTTAACATATATGTGCTGCCACAGCAAGTACTATACGCACATCTTTAAGGCATTTAGGAAGAGCTTAACGAAATCATCATCATTCATTCATTTTTTTCATTCAGTGGAAATCTATTTGGAAGTCCAAATTAACATCAATACTTGGTTTAATTATTTTAATATTCCAAGTGATTAAAGCCAAATTATCAGCATGTTTTTCTTTCTCTAATTAGTAAAGAAGCTACACCTAGGGGCTGGAGTGATAGCACAGCAGGTAGGGCATTTGCCTTGCATGTGGCTGACCCAGGTTTGATTCCCAGCATCCCATATGGTCCCTTGCGCACAGCCAGGAGTAATTTTTGAGTCCAGAGCCAGAAGTAACCCCTGTGCATCGCCAGGTGTAGGCAAAAAACATAAATAAATAAATAAATAAAAAACAGAAACTACATCTAGAAAATATTTCGCCTATTAATCACCAGGGTTACTGAGAATGCCCATTACCTCACTAGAACAACAACAATCAGGGATAAATCTGATATCAGGGAGCAATGAGAAAGAAGGGGGACTGTTCCTACCTTCAATTCAAAAACTAATCAGTCTCCCATTTCCTTCTACACAGCTTTGAGAAGGCTAATCCTCATCACCACCTCAGCAACGTCTGAAGAGACATGTTGTCTCTTGAGGAATGCATTCACTCTTCACAAGCTTTGGCTAGAGAGCAGAATGTTAGGCAAGGATGACAGGCCTGAGCTGCACCATCTGCTTACTTGGACAATATGCTTCTCCAGTTTCCAGGTGCACATAGACAGGCTGTGGGCTGAGTCATAGATGTTGGCAAAGGGTATATCACACAAAGAAGGCTTCCAGCAGGCCTGTTCACAGTGTTTATAATCTTCACTGCACACAAGATGAATTCCAAACCTCTCAGGGATATAGGGTCCTCCCATCTGCCCTCAGTCCCTGCATCCTAGGGTTCTGAAACAATAATGGGCACTGCAGCAAAAAATGAAGTCTCAAGCCCTAATTTCAAGGACTCAAAATAAAAACTAAAGAAATACACTTCATGGAGCTGGAGAGACAAGTCAATGGGTAAGTGCATGCTCCACACATGGAAAAAAAAAAAGATGTGGGAGACTCAGTTTGAATCCCTGGCTCCATGTGGTCCCCTGAGTACCATAAGGAACAACTTCCAAGCACACAGCCAGAAGTAGCCCCTGTACATTCCCAGGTGTGACCCAAAACAAAAGAGAAAGACACTTCTTGGCTGGCGAGATAGCTTCAACAGCAGAGCACAGGTCTTGCCTATGCAAAGGAGAGTCTAATTCCAGCACCTCAACCCATACTCCCAGAACTGCCAGGTGTAGCACTACAGGATGTGACCCCTCCAGACAGATGGGTAGATAAAATAGTTCTTTAAAATGTTTTGAAATCAGGAAGTGAAGACAATAACCAGATGGTTTCATTTGTGTGTGTAATATAAAAACAATTTGACAAAACACAGCAAAAATCACTCTCAGACTGAAAAATACAGCTGTAACTAGAAGGAAATGAAATGGACAATCTTTTTGTAGTGTGATGGTACCACAAAAAAAGTAGAAGGTGGTGGGTCTTAAATATGCAAAGTATGAAGCTCTACTCCTCAAATTTTATAGTTTCACAAACCAATGAGAAAATAATACAATTTGGTTAAAAATTATAGTATGAAGTTATTAGCGTTGTTTTTTGATTGCTGTTTCTGGGAGTTCTAATATAAGTGGAGACAGAGGCATCCTTGCCTTGTGTGTGATTTCAGAGAGATTTTCATTTCCTCACTGATATAATACAGATAGCCTTTATTATCTTGAGGAAGGCTCCTTCTAACCCAATTTTGTTGAGAGTTTTTATCATGAATGGATATTGGATCTTGTTAAAAGCCTTCTCTTTATTAATTGTTATGATCATGAAATTTTTATTTGTCCTCTATAAAAATGTGGGATATTACATTAATTAAATGATTTAAAGACGGTCTTTGATTTTGTTGAGACTGAAGCGGTCATCAAAGCTCTAGCCAAAGAGGGCGTTCAAACTCAGTACATCAGGATCCTCTGCGAGCTGTATTGTGAATTCACCACCAAGATCTCATCATTCTACAAGGAAGTGATCATCAACATAAAGAGAGGGATTCGCAGGGTGATACCATTTCACCAAAACTCTTCAGTGCCACCCTCGAGAACATCATGCGATGACTGGAATGGGAAGAAATGGGAGTGAAGATAGACAGTCGGCAACTACACCACCTCCGCTTCACTGATGATATCGTCCTAATAACACCAAACATTAGCCAAGCGACACAAATGCTGGCCGACTTCGACCATGAGTGTGGAAAGGTCGGACTGCAGCTGAATCTCACCAAGACAATGTTCATGAAAAACGAACTAGTCCCTGATGTTCCATTTGCTCTCAATAAAACGAACATCTCCAAATGCAGCAGTTAGTGTACCTGGGTCGAGAACTCAACATGAGGAACGACTTGGAGCCAGAACTTCACAGGAGGAAAAGAGCAGCATGGAACACCTTCAAGAGCGTCGAAGAAGTTGTTAAGAGGACGAAGAACCTCCGCTCTGGGCACATCTTTTCGACTCCACCATTCTTCCTGCACTAACATACTCTTCAGAGACCTGGGCCCTACAAAAACAGGATGAGAACACTATTCGGGTATCCCAAAGAGGAATCAAAAGAGCTATGCTTGGAGTATCATGCTTCATTCAAGTGAGAGAAGGAATCCAGAGTTCTGACCTCCGTTGACGATCAAGAATCAGGGATGCTGTCTTGTTTGCCAAGGCGTCGAAAATCAGATGGGCCAGACACATAATGCGATTTAGAGACGACCAGTGGACTAGAGCTGTTACCGACTGGATTCCACGGGATGTCAAAAGAATGCATGGCTGCCCACTTATGAGATGGTCAGACTTCTTCATCAAAACCCTGAACAAATGATTTGAGGCTCTTCATGTTCCTGGAGCAAGCAGATGCCATTGGGCTATACTAGAACGTGACAGGGACGAATGGAGATAATACTGGCGCCCACTCAAGCAAATCGAAGATCAACAGGATGACAAGTGATAAAAGTGATTACATTAATTGATATGAGTATACTAAACTACCCTTGTATCCCTAGAATGAGTGTGACCCAAAAAGAAAAAAGAAAACAGCCAGCTCCAAAAATGTAACAGTTTGTATGATCAAGCAAGAATGAATGAATGAATATAGAAAACTTGGTCTGAATCTGCAGTAGAAACAACCCTGAGATCCAGTCAAGAGAACTGTGGGTTGAGGGTACTAAGGGGAATGTGGAGAAGGGATCTTGGGGGAATGGTGGGAGAATTCTGGCATTCTGGTGGTTGGCTCATTGCAGCAGTACTGCAAGCACAAAATAGTAACAGCAGCACTACTGTAAAAATAAGTAAATAAATGACAAAACAAAATACAAATTTTCAGCATGCATTTTTTTTCCTGAAGTTTCTTACTTTGAATTGCTTGTTGCTCCACAGTGATTCTTTTCTCTTCATTTTTCCCATTCTGGAACTTCAAATAGAAAGAATAAGGTCACAATCTCTGTTAGTTGTTCATAGACACATTATTTGACACATCCTTAAATATCTCAGTAGGACTGAGTAAAAATATAAATATCACATTCACAAATAAATGATCTAAATAAGAACAGCTAGCACCATTAACACTATAAATTCCCCATTTCATGGTCAAGGAATAGGTGAATCTTTTGTTTTTATTATTATTATATTTTGATTTTGATTTTTGGGCCATAATCGGCAGTGATCAGAGATTTCTCCTGGCTCGGCTCAAAGGCAAAGATCACAAGAGGAATTGGCTGGAACTGGTGCCAGGGATCATACCAGGGTCAGCTGCGTGCAAGGAAGCATCTTAACATCTCTCCAGTAATTCTTCTTTTTAAAAAGTGAAAATACAGTGATGTAGAAAACATGCTAGACTAGAAAACTTGAATAATCCAAAGAGGCTCAACAGAATTATTCAAATATTAGAATACAGTAGTGTTCCTATAACATCTCCAACTTAGAAGGAGCTGTTGGAATGTGTGACTGATACTCAACTCTCATCCAACTCTGGGAGAACAAATCCAGCTTACGAATCCTAATTCTGCCACATATAAGTATGAAACCTTGAGCAAGTTATTTAATATCTCTCTCTCTCTATATATATATACATATATGTGTGTGTGTGTGTGTGTGTGTGTGTGTGTGTGTGTTTCTTATCTTCAACCTCATATATTTCCCATAAAACTGAAATGTACACAAAGCCCCAGGAGAATGCCTCACACAGAAGTGCTTTTAAAATGTTCTATTACTATTGTTCCATAACTGCCTAGCTACACAATCAAATGTGGGCTTGGTTCTTGATGATCAGCTATCATGTCTGAAGAATATAATCTGATGAGCGCAGAATGAAATATTGAACCGGTCCTGAATCTTCTTAGATCTCAGGTCCTGTGGAAGGTACGCAAACTATACACTGACAGCCATAGAACACTCTCAGCTCCCAATTAACACTTCTCCTTTGGTGTTATCCTAGCCAAAGACATATACCAGTTATTAAGTTGCATCTAGAACTAAGTCTGTGTGTTTAAAGGGAAAAATATATATTTCCCTTTAATTTATAACTATCATATATTTATATATATATATCTCAAATATATATATAAACACACATATCTACTGTAGCACTGTAGCACTGTCCTCCCATTGTTCATCGATTTGATCGAGCGGGCACCAATAACATCTCACAACAAATTGTGAGACTTGTTGTTACTGTTTTTGGCATATTGAATACGTCATGGGTAGCTTGCCAGGCTTTGCCGTGCAGGCGAGATACTCCCGGTAGCTGGCTATGCTCTCCGAGAGGGGCAGAGGAATCGAACTCAGGTTGGCCATGTTGGCTGTGTAAAAGGCAAACACCCAACCTGCTGTGGTAATCTTTTATATATTTTGATGCTATGTGTGTGTGTGTGTGTGTGTGTGTGTGTGTGTGTGTGTGTGCATGTGTGCTGGTTTTTGGGCCACAGCCGGCAATGCTCAGAGTTTTGTACTCAGAAATTATTCCTATCAATGTTTGGGGGACAATATGGGATGTCAGGAATTAAACCTGGGTTGGCTACATGCAAGGCAAGTACCTTACCTGCTGTACTATCTCTCCTGATCCAAAGAAAATTTTTTTTCAAAGAAAATATTTTTTAAAAGAAAAAGAAAATAAGAAATGTCAGTTGCTTTTATCACTCACTAATAACTCACGATCTGGTAAAAGACTGAGTATCTATGATAAAAATAAAGGACCCAATATGGATGTGCACACACTCTTATGCACTGTTAAAGAGACATAACATTAAGTAAAAATTAGATTTTAAGAGCAATGTACTGCAGTCATATAAGTTTTTTATGTTAATATTTTGATGCCATCTGTTATTCAGTATCATTATAACTTTTAAAATATTTTTGTACCCTTGTGAGTTAACATTCCTGTATTCAGCCACTAAATAGTGTGAGAAAGTTACATAATTCATATGTCACAGCGACTCCTTACTAAATAAATGAATGACCAAGATAACAAACACAACAAATTTAGGAAGAAACTATCCACAGAAAATGTGGATTCCCAATAGGCTACATAAATAGTGAAGACAATTATTTCACTAACAACATAAAAGTGCAGCAGCAAAATTATGACATGCTTTTAATTAAAACAACAACATAGTTTATATTCAATAGACAGAAGCAAAGAAATGTCAGAACTCTGGACCTGAATTCTACATTGAGTATACCTTATGATTTGGTATCAAAGATATTCAAAGGACCAAAGAAAACATATCTGATTTTTAAAAAATATATCTAAGCCTTGGCATTACTTGCATGTAGTTCACTCAATACACTATGGTATGGAGAAAGGAGGTGAAGATAATTTCACAAAATGACATTAAGTCCTTTTACTTTTAGATGGGAATGAGGTCAGGATAATTCTGATGGTATCTGTACTATCTCCTAATACAACAGAGTTACTGTGAGATTTATGGTCATAGACCAATTAATCAATAACAAAACATTTGCAGCTATCATAAAAATAAACTTGATAAAAAGCAAATGAAGGGGCCAAAAAGATAGTACAGAGGGTAGGGTGACTGCCTTGCACACAGCTGACCTAGGTTCAATCCCAAACATTTCATAGAGTCCCCTGAGCACTGCCAGGAGTAATTCCTCAGTAAAAGAGTAACCCCAGAGCATCACCTTAAAAAAAAAAAAAAAAAAGCAAATGCAGGCCAGAGAGATACTAAGATAGTACAGTGGGAAAGGTGCTTGCCTTGCACACTGCCAACCAGACTTCCATCCCTGGCACCTCATATGACTCTCCAAGAACCACCAGGCGTTATCCCTGAGTACAAACCAGGATCAAGGAGCAAGCCCTAAGCACTGCCAGCTGTGGCCAAAAAAAACCAAACAAAACGCAAAAAGAAAAGGATAATTATTTTGAAGTAGACTATATAATTTCTCCTTTCATATTTCTATTTTCCAAATTATCTCAACAAACATGCTAGCCTCACAATAAGCTATACGTATTTATTAAACAAGTATAAATTTCTATCACAAGTTTTCCTGATAGTAAATCAGTACATGCTATGAAAATAAGTGTATTTTTCATCAAAGTTTCAAAAGCATTCCAAGCTCGGACCTAAAACATTGGCTGCAGACTTACCCTTAAGTTATGTGCAGAATCAGTAAGACTCAGCTTTGGGAGAGAAGCCGGAAGAACCTTGGTATATTTAGCATCTTCTCCTTGAGCTACAATAAAAACAGAAGTTACTGAGTTAAGATTTACAACGGTCACGATCACAGTCCTCCCGTTATTCATCGATTTGCTCGAGCGGGCCCAGTAACATTGTGAGACTTGTTACTGTGTTTGGCATATCGAATACGTCAAGGGAAGCTTGCCAGGCTTTGCCGTGCAGGTGAGATACTCTTGGTAGCTTGCCGGGCTCTCCGAGAGGGGCGAAGGAATCAAACTCTGGGCGGCCATGTTGGCTGCTTGCAAAGCAAACGCCCTACCTGCTGTGCTATTGCTCCAGCCCTAGATTTACAAATGATTATCAAATGAATCTTCAACATGGTCTCAGTGGGACCATTTCCCAGTTAATCACTTTCTTTCAAAACATTCCACATTCCAGCCAACTTTCTTTATTCAAAATTATCAAATCAGACCAATTCTGCCACCAAGATCTTTAAGAATGAATTAAAACTGCCATTTCTGTTCTTGATCTTCACACGATGATTTCAAGGGAAAAGGAGGAGAGTAGTGTATCTATGGATCACTGGTTCTCAGCCATGCCCTCTAGGTTCTGGACCTCTAACAGAGCCCATGCAGAGGCTGGGTCTAGAAGACACGTGAGAGGGGTTGTATGAGAAAGGCCCATCAAAGTCCATTCTTTAGGGACCACAGCGATAGTCCAGTGAGTAAGGCGTTCGCCTTGCATGAGGACAACCTGGGTTCAATCCCAGAATGCCATAAGGTCCCCGAGTACTGCCAGGAGTAATTCCTGAATGTAGAGTCAAGAGGAATCCCTGAGCACTGGTGGAGGGATGGGTACTCGATCATTGTATAACTGAAACCCAAGCACAAAAATTTGTTAAGTCTACAACTGTACCTCATGGTGTTTTACTAATAAAAATTAAAAAAAAAGAGGAAGCCCTGAGCATTGCCAGGTGTACCCCCCAATCCCCCCAAAACAAAACCAAAGTCTATTCTCTTTCTGTGAGCCTGGCTATCAGTAAAAAAGTTGAGCTTCTCCATGTTGAGGTGTTTAGGATTTTATTTTTCATCAGGGGACTTACCCAGTGGTGCTGAGGGGACCCAAGGGCCACTCATCAGTGTAAACCATTGGAGTTGTGCTCACGGGTTACCAGAGTCATCAAAAATAACCAGAGCCACACCTGGTAGTACTCAAAGAACAGGGTAGTACTGTGGATCAAACTCAGAACCTCAAATATTCAAGGTCTGTAATGTACCACTTGAGCTAGTTACCTGGTCTCATGGGAGGGGAGGGAATAAAACTCAGGAACCTGCAAGGCAGCCCTGGGACCCTAGGGACAAAATACCACCCAAAGTTGGCTGGTGCTCAAGGTCTAGCTTCCACTCTGAATCACCCACAGTGCTATCACCCCGGGCAGGAAATGTGGACGCAGACTCTCTGTTAAGGAACCACTGGAACCACTTGGCAGCATTTTTTAAGGAGTCCAAGACTAAGGCCAAGCAGATTGGGTGATGCGGGTAACATATCTGGTATTCAGAGACAAAAGAGATATGATCTCTATCTCCATGCTAGTGGACCTTCAGATTCTATTCTATCATCCATCCAATACATGGATGAAACAGTTTCCTTCCTCTAAATGAGCCTTTTCTAAGCTGATCTACTATCCATGGGATGAATTTCTTCTTACCAGACAGCTTGAACTTCTGAATCTTCGTCTTCAGGTCTATTCGGTGGATGCTCTTTAGGCAGTCTTCGAGTAAATCCAATTGATCTGGAGCTAGCAGATCTTGTTTCTCCAATTCGACCACAAGCTTCAAGAAACTCTATGGGAGTCACAAGAAACAAATGTAAGTCAGTCAGATGATTAAGCTCCAAATGCAAACTTCTGTCCATGTGACTTATAACAGCCTGAAAATGTGACAAGAGGTGTCTAAGCCATGACTCTCCATGGTCCTGGAGCCAACTTCTCTGTCAGTGTCCCTCCTGGGTCAGGAATAAATGAACACTGGTCGGTTTTATTAGAAAGAGGCAGCAGGAAGAACTTTGGTGGCCAACCGGAGCCGATACTGGGGTAGACACCTGGGTCATTCTGCAGCAGGAGCACCTCTAAGAGAGCAGGTATGAAAGAAAACTCTCAGGCCAGAGTTATAATACAGCAGGTAGGCATGTGCATTGCAGCATACCCAGGTTCGATCCCAGTATCCTATATGCTCTCCTGAGCACTCTACACTCCTGAGCGTAGAGCCAGGAGTAACCCCTAAGCACTGCCAGGTGTGGCCCAAAAAACAAATAAATAAATGAACTAAATAAAATCTCTATTCCGAAAAGTCAAGCTGGCCTCATACTGAAAAAAGTTCTCAGGGTTCTTCTAAAAATGAAAGAGGAATAATACTTGAGGGAGAATATATATGCACCAGAAAAACATCAATGATACAATTTGAAAGTATCTAAAATATTTTCATCAGTGCTGGACATTATGAAGGGGCGAAACACCAAGGTAAGGTGTCTTGGTACTCGCTTACCCTGGACCACAGGGATGGGAAAAGAACACTACTAGAGAGGTACGTACTGCCTTGGAGGTTATTTCCCTTCATTTAACCTTTGATTATTCTGGTTTTGTTTCTCTTTATTTAACCTTTAGTGAGCTACTTTTATTTGTGAAAATAAAAATAATAATTCAATCTCTACAAGTGATTGGGAGGTTGACTAGAAAATACGAGAGAGAGCAAAAGAGATAGAGCAAGAGAGTGAGAGCGAAAGAGAGAGAGAGCACAAGAGAGGAAGTCCTAATTTTCCACTGTCCTTCTTGTGCACTTGATGATGGAGGCATAAAGTGACCCTGTATTTCCAGATTTTAGAAATGAAGCTACAGTCATTAATGGACAGGAGAAAAAAATTCCAGCACTCCTACTAGAGTGCTCAGAGGCAGTCCTTTAAGACACATGCTTAAAAACCTAGAGGCCCAGGCCTCTCCTGAGGTCAGTAGATAACACAGGCCAGCAGGAAGTAAAATACTTTCATAGCACTCACAACCTGCCCTAATTGATCTCTATGTTTTTGTTTAGTTCTGTTTTGGGGCCACAGCCAGTCATGCTCATGTCCTAGGAGTGACCCCTGGTGTGCTCAGGGTGACTCTATGTACAGCCTGGACTGAAGTCAGGGTTGGCTGAAGCAGCTGCCATGAAGGGCAAGTTTCTGACCTCCTCTCCTATCTCTCCGGCCCCCTACCCCCACCCCGGAGTCTCTAGTTCTGTTACATCCTGGATGCAAGAACTCAAGAACTCCACCTACAGCTCTATCTACAGGCTGCCCTGTGACTCCATTCTGACCTTGAGCAAGCAAAGGACAGAGATGGCAGTGGACGACGTTTCCCACCTTTTGTGGGAATGACAATACCCCAATGACCTCACAGACCAGGGAGAAACATGGACATGTAAACCCAACCTCAGAAACCAGGAACCAAGAAAAAAAAAAAAAACTCACCCTCTTGCTGGACATCTTGCCTCGGCACAGATGATCCTTCAGTAGGAAAATTAACGAGGCTACATCAGAGTTATCCAAACACTCGCCAATCTCATTCATTAGCACCCTGTAAACCAGACAAGTTCCATTAGTAAATTCAAACACCAGTTCTAATGGGATGCCAAGCCCTATATCTCCTCTATGCTGAGAATTAAAGCATGGGTCTTACCCCCACCTTGAATATCCCCCCCCCAATGAAACAGAAACCCTAGGTTCCCCCCCCCAAGGAAGAGCAATTCAAAAGAGGAACTTGTTTTTCCCCATATTTCAAAAGGAAACTAAAACTTCCCTCAAGAGTCCCCCAGGTCCCCCAGAAGTTATAATGAAATACTTGAGGGACCTAACTAAATGACTAAGATGAAGGACCAAAAAGAAAAAAGAAAAATTTAAATAATCTTGCCTTTACTGTTTAACAAGTTTCCAGAAAATGCTGGTGCAGCTGATCCAGGGCCCATACTTTGAGTCACAAGATCCTAAGGCAAAGTAACAAACACTTGGGGTTTCCTGGCATCATCCCTTACTACAAGGGCAAAAGATCCCTGGGGTCTGGAGCTAGTGACCAGGGACACCTTTACCTAGAAGGCTGTGCCTGCTACCTGCAGAGCCACCACAACAATGCTGTCAGGGCCACCTCCCAGGCCTTGACATTTGGATTCTTCAGGATGGAATCGTCTTTGCTCATCTGGTTCTAAGTTAGTGCTTATCAAGCACCTGGCATCTGTCAATCCCAACAATGCCCACTGAGGTGGAAAATAAGTGAATCTGACATGTCCCACTGCTCCATGCCCCAGAACAAGGAGAGAGGAAATTGGGAGAGTGCCCTAACTCTTCCAAGACCCTGTCAGTGCCTCAGTAAGAGAGTTCAGGAAGACCCCTGGCATTCCACGGCAGGTGGAGAGGTAGGAGGTAAATGAGAATAATAAAACTCACAATAATTTGTAGAGTACCTCATGCTTGCATGCTTTTTTGTCTTTGTCTTTTTATTGGCAGTGCTTAGGACTAGAGCCACCAGGGCCACACCTAGCAAATGCTTGGGGGCAGCAGGCAGCTCACAGTGAGATGCCAGGAATCTAACTCAGGGTCTCACACATGCTAGACATGTGCTCTACCACTTGAGCCTAAACTATTTCATAGTTTAAGATGCATTTCACAGGGCCAGCACAACAGTACAGCAGGTAGGATAATTACTTTGGATGTGGCAGACCAGAGTTCAATCTTTGGCATTCCATATGGTCCCCTGAGCACTGCCAGGAGTAACCCCTGAGCACAGGGGCAGGAGTAAGACCTAAACACCACTGAGTGTGGCCCAATTTTTTTTAAAGGACTGTATACAGTAAATTAACATAACTGATCCTCAAGAACCTGCTAAAATAAGGTATTATATTAATCTTAGCTCTACAAGTAGGAAGATGAAAGCCCACTGACCAGTGCTAATGGCCCAGTCTCTATAACTGACAGTTCTGAAGTTTTAAAACAGGAGTTTAGACCCCAAGACCCAGACACTTTTGTAGGCCTGCTCTACTTTCAACTCTCTTTAATAATATAGTTTTTAATATTAGCCATCACCTCCAAATAATTATCAATGTAACTAACAGCAAGTGGCTGGGGGAAAATGAACTACTGATTTAGATTACAAACTCTTCACTTCCTTCAAGACAGCCTTTCCCTCTGAACCACCAAGAGTACAATGAGAACATGAGGCAGGAATAATCCCAATGCTATCTTAGCTAAAAGGAAAGGGAGCCCAAGGGTTGTGCTTAAAAAGATATTCAAGCTGGAGATGTAGCCCAGCAGAAAAGCATCTGCCTTTGCCTCGTATGTGTGAGGCCCTGTATATGTGAGGCCCTGGGTTAGATCCCAGTTAGTTTACAAAAAAAAAAAAATCTGAGCTTCCAAAACTTCCTAGGCAGGAAGAAGGTAGACAATGATTCAGAAGGAAATTCTGAAAACCAGTAAGATCTATCAAAATAGTTATTTTCTTTCTCAAAGAAAATTGCTAGGGTCTGACATCATAGAAAATCAGCTAGCACAAACCACTGAAGATCTCCCTGTCAGAACCAGCAAGGGTTACTGACTCTCAGTTATCCTTATTGTCCTTACTTTACCCATCAGGCTTACACATACCCATTTCTTCTACTCTCATTATAATTTTCTATTCAGTTGCTTTAAACAAACAAGTTCTAAGAATCCAGAGTTCAAGCTAAGGAGCTGGCTTTGAAGGCTGGAGCTATGTATATTGGAGCCCCAGGTTCAATCCCAAGCACTGCATGGTTCCTGGCCCTCCCCCAGAACTGCCAGGTATGGCCCAAAAAGAGAGAGAGAAAGAGAGAGAAGTGAAAAGAGAGAGAGAGAAGTGAAGAGAGAAAGATAAAAAGACAAAGAGAGAAATGAACAGAGAAAGAGAAAGAATCTAAAGAGGTCAAAGCTATCAAAGCTAGAATGTATTATACTGGAGCTATATCAGTGGGTCGAGAAAGAAAAGAAAGAAAAGGCCACTTTTCTTACTGTTCTCCTATTTTTTTTCTTTTGTTTCCTTTGACCATACTTGGTGGGGCTCAGGGATTTCTCTTGGCTCTATACTCAAGCATCACTCCCAGTGGAGCTCAGAGCACCCTGCACTGCTGGGGATCCAGTCAGAGCCTAGAGCATGCTACGCAAACACACTCTCTACTCACTCAGCACTCCAGGACAGCTCTGGGCACTACCTAGAGTTCAAAACTGCAGGCTGAATTACCTATAGTCAGAAACAAGGCGAGGGTGCATGGTCAGGTGGTCTTCCACTGCCTTCCTGTCCATCTTCAAGATCCTCTTGATCAGGTCAATCCGCCTCACTCTGTAGAGCAACTCAGCCAAGTCCACATCAGACAGCTTCCCTCTCTCACTCAAAATGTCCAAAAGGTTTCTGACATCAGGTGGAGCTACGTCTGCAGCAACATCGCGGCATAAGAAAAGCATCACCTCCTTATCCTCGTCATCAAGGGCCTCCTCCACTTGGTGGATGACCTCAGCAGACATGGCTCGATGACGGCTGTCACATCCAGGGCGCTCAAGATGCAAGTCCACACGTCAGTCAACAGGCAAAGCTCCTGACTCCTATTCTGCTGTCTTTCTTCGTGTCTTTCAAAAATCTCTGCAGTGGAGACGTTCTGTGGGTAAGTGAAGTAGTGTTTAAATCCTCCTATCAAAATAATTAATGCCTCACATTCAAAGACCAACACTTCCTTTCTGTCCAATCTCGATAACTGAGTACGTGAAATTCTGCACAGTTGGGTCTACAGCAAGGAAGCCCCAGCAGATAAAGTAATCTCCAAACCAAATCAGTGGAAGAAGATGATGTACATTTTAAAGGAAATGACACCCAGAGGCATTCTCTCCCAAAATTTCCACATGCTTTTTCAGAATGTCAAGTAAATAACAAGAAAACCAGAAAGTAAATAATGACTAAATAGAAAAAGAAAGACACTGCCTACAGAAGCAAAAGGATCAAATGACTAAAAGCTGAGAATAGGTGGTATGGGAAGGGTTCACTCACACTTGATGATCTCACCCAGAGAGGCTTGAAGAAATAAGGGCAACATATGTCTCTATCCCACCTTTTTTCCCCCCAGTTGTTCTAATGTTTTTTTTTGGGGGGGGTGGGATTTGGGTCACACCCCCAGATACTCAGTAATCATTCCTGGTGGGACTTAGGGGTTGGGGATGGATTATATGCAGTGGATCATATCCAGGATCTAACCAGGGCAGGCCAGATACAAGGTCAGTGCCTTCCTTACTCCCTGCACTATCTTATCTCTCTGACCCCAGTTGTTTTAAAGTACCTCAATTCGCATGAAACCTAAGCCGCCATTCTCTCTAAGTCCCTGGCCCTTATCAGTTTTTCACAAAAGCTCCTAAGAGACCTGTGTTGGGACCAGTTTTTTTTTTAATTGAATCACCATGAATTAGAGTTTTAAAGTTATTCATGATTGTCAAGTGTTTCAACACCAAGCACTTCACCAGTGTCCCTAGTTTTACTTCTGCAGTCAGCCTGACTCTTGGCAGGCATTATTTTCATTTTCTTCCTTTTTTTTATTTTTCATTTATCTTTTAGGAACTATGGTTTACCCAATTGTTACTGACAGAATATCATGCGTGTCATTCTACCTCCTTTCAGCACCCTGTCCTGAACCAGAGTGACCACTTCCCTCACTGTCTTAGCTAGTAGTTCCTTCTCTGACAATCCGTCTCTCCCCAGCCCCCTCCACCCCCCATCCAGTGGCAAGTTTCCTACTAAAAACCAGTTCCTCCTGTGGTTTTGCTTCCATTGCATTAGTTATTTTCCTGGGTTTTTTTTTACACACTACATATGAGTGAAATCATTCTGTGGGAGTCTTGATCCCCTCTCTAGACCCTGAATCCCTTAGAACTTCCTGAGCCCCTGACTCTCAATGCAGCTGCAGAGTAACAGATTTCTCCCTCAAGCTCAGGAGGTATGGGGGGGGGGGGGGGGTCGGGAAGCACCGTGACAGGGAGAAGGTGGTGCCAGATAAGAATTTAAAAAAAAAAAAACATTGTTAGCTTATTTTTTCCAAACAATATACCCAAGATTGCTTTCTGACAGTCACGCACATTCAGCAGGCGAACTGGCATGCTGTCTCTCCTCTGTACGAACGGAGGTACGGATTGGCAGCAAAATCCAAATTACTCAGTGAAAGCATCTGGCGTACTCAGAGAAAAGAGCAGAAGGAAAACTACAGATCCTGTGAGCCATGCCAAGCAGATATAAGAAAATATCAGTGTGTGTATGTGAGGTAGTGTGGGGATGTAACTGTTGCTAGGGGACCTGAGAGCTTCAAAGAAAGGGGGACATGGGATGTAGCTGTCAGTGCAGCTACGAGACCTGAGAACGCGGAGACCAACATGCAGTCTAGGGCTGATGGTTCAAAGATATGCACGCAGTGGGTAAGCTGGGAGATCCTGTGACAACAATCATCCACGCAGGTCACAGACTGATAGTCAAGATGACAAAGTTTATTAAGGGAGGCAGACGGTTAAATAGAGGCTGAGGAAATGTGCCTATGTGCCCTAAGGAGCAGATGGTGGAGGGAGGTGGGTATTGTTATGACTAGGAAGAAGTTGCTGGAAGGCCCTATGACCAGGAAGTTATAACTAGGAAGTTATGACCAGGAAGTTATGACTAGGAAGGCCCTTGAAGTTCAAAGGGCCAAGGTTGAGTTATTGCTGACACCCAAAGATGTCTGCTTCCCACGTCTCAAGCCATTGGCCACTGGCAAATCAAGGCCAATTAATCTGTGTTATTCTTAGAGAATGTCAGGTTTCCCTGGCAACAGCCCAGTTCCTGAGAAGTCTGGACCTGAGGCACTCCATACAGGTCCAGTGATCTCTAGTGGTCAAGAGGTCATGCCAGGGAGAACTCCACCAACAGGGTCCTAGGAGATAGGTCAAAGGACTAGTCACACACTTTGTATGCTGGAAACCCCAGGTTTAATCACCAACACTACATGGTCCCTTGAGCACCACAGAGAGAGACTCCCAGGTAATGCACTGGGAGTGGCTGAACACACCCTGATGTGGTCCAAAAAACAAAAACAGAAAAGGAGAGATAGAGAACTATGGATATGAAAGGCTTCTGATCCAAATAATCACTACTTTGGAAGCGAGTCAGAAAGAAAGGGACAGACACAGAATGATCTCTCATATGTGGGAGTTAAGGATACAGAGTAAGGGAGCAACAAATGGCCAACAGAACTGAAAACCTGAATTTATGGTTCATGGTTCCACAGAACTGAGTTTATGGGAGGGAGTGGAACAGGATGGCCTGGGGCACTTGGCGGGTACTCTGGTGTGATGCTGAAATGACGTGCACCTGGAACTAGCATTAACATATTGTGCATCACAGGGACTAGAGAGATGGTAGAGATAGAATACTTGCCTTGCACACGCCCAACCCAAGTTCCATCCCTGGCACCCCATACGGTTATGCCCTGCCAGGAGGGATCCCTGCATGCAGAGGTAAGCCCTGAGCACAGCTGCATGTGGCTTAAAAACCAACCAGCTTCCCCACCCCGCCTTTTTCCCCTGAGCTTCTGAATACCATTTACTGGTTCAGTTAACAAGAACTATAAAGAGAAAATACAGTTGCGTAGTAGGGGAAAACCAGAGTACACCATACAGAATCTATTTTTCAAAATTCTATTTTGAATATGGTACTGAAGGTACTTTTAGAGGTTTTGAGGTGGGGTAGGAGGGGAAAGGAGGGGAGGGATAAAAGAAGAGAGAGACAGAGACAGAGGCAGAAAAAGCCCTTATAACCTAAACCTTTAGAAATATCCCCCTAGTTAGTTACTCTCCAAGTTGGGTCAAATTTCATATTCCATTCAACACGGTGGAAAAGGCAGAGGTGGGGGGGAGAGGGGAGCAGCGCTGGGGGTGGGGGGGGGATGCAGCACGGGGGGGGGGGGCAGGCAGCAGGTTCAAGGGCCTCCACTTAGCAGCCATCCTATTCCTCTCTCCTCTCCCCTCTCCTCTCTCCTCTCCTCACTGCTTCACTTCATTGGGGGAGGAACAAAGAGGCTATCAAAGAAGGAAACCGAGTACAAAGATTGTTGTTTTCTTGCTGCCAAGAAAAACCACCCCTCCAAATGAATCTTTTGTATAGCACTCAAATAATAGACAAGCCAATCTCCTGTGATTTCCCAACATTTTTTTGGAATTCCCCTTTACTCTCCTCCAGAGAACATGCTCAGGGGATGACTTGGCTTCCTCTTGTCTTCAGACACAAACTGTTCTTTACATAACCAGGGAGAAATGAGAGCAAAGTTCAGTTTCAGTTTCATTTCCTGAGAAAGAGTCCTGGCCACTTTGCCAGCTAGGAGCCGAAGTGAGAGCACAGCAGGTAAGGCATTTGCCTTGCACATGGCTGACCTGGGTTCAAGCCTCACCATCCCATATAGTCCCCAAGCACCGCCAGGAGGCATTCCTGAGTGCAGAGCCAGGAGTAACCCCTGAGCATCAACGGGTGTGACCCAAAAAGAAAAAAAAAGCCACAAAACCTAAACTAGGCTGAGTGTAAATCACCAGTGTGTTTCCACACTAGAAAGGGCTTCCTGAGGGCAGAAACCAAAACTGCTCTGACCCAACAGAAAGCTTCAGCAGAGTAGCTATCTCCAAAAGAGGAACATTTAATGTGGGTTCTCAAAATGAAGGGGCCCTCAGCTGGGCTGACAGGGCTAAGAATCCCAGAATGACCTGCCACAGGTCAAGGCGGCATCGGGGAGTAACTTCGAGGAGCACTAAGCTAAGAACACAGGCACGGGAGACCTACACACCATCGCCATGTCCCAAGTTATCCTGAAAGAAGTTCCAGCAAATTTTGCGAGTACTCAATACCAGTGCCAATGGGCAGCCTTTGGTGGGCTCATGTGGTGTTAAGGAAAGGAGACACTGACTTCACCAAGGATGAGGTGGCATGTGTGATCACCACTATGCAGAATCCATGCCAATATAAGATTCCTGACTGGTTCTTGGATAGTGAAGGACGGAAAATATAGTCAGGTTCTGGCCAAAGATCTGGACAAGCTCCAGGAAGTCTTGGAGCCCTGAAAGAAGATACTGGCCCACAGAAGGAGGTGGAACTTCTGGGGACTTCACATCACAGGGCACTGTGCCCAGGCTACAGGTATGTTCAAGAGGCCTGCCTTGTCTGTAATAGTATATACACTTGAAAAGCGGGGGAGGGGGAGCAATAGTATAGCGGGTAGGTTGTCTGCCTTGCACACAGCAAGCCAGGTTTGACCTTCAGCATCCCCTATGGTCCCAGAGGAGTGAAGAGGCTTGAGGGGCTACTCACATGCTCATTTAGTTCCTCTTTCACTTAAACTCTATCCATTTGATTAATCTCTCCTTCAAACTCTTGCCATTGGCTGACCTCACCCCATTGTTTGCAGTCAAGCCACTCCCTAACCATTTCCACTTCCTTGAACACCCTGTCTCATTTCCTACTGCTCCTGAATGGCTAGTGTGCACCAGCACTGTCTGGGACCTCTCTGTTGCCCTGTTCCTTTTCCCCCAGACCTATCAGAATGAACTTCCGGAACTGCTTGAATCAAAACATACTTTCCTGATTCCAACCGCCGTGTCTCATCTCCCACTGCAGGTTCAGTTTTGTCTTCAAAACCTCTGGTAGGACCCCACCCTCTTGCTCTCATCTCCCCTTAATACACACCTTGCACACTGGGTTTCAACCAAATCTCAACATGGTCTCTCCAGTGCCTCCACCTTTGCCAAGATTATGCTTTCCCACTTAGCTCCTAGCAAAAACTCTTCTAAGCTTTGGAACTGTGCTGAAGCAGGTTATTGTGTAAAGCTTCCAGGGAAAGCACCAGTCAGACTTAGTAACTATTTTTACCATTTTCCATATTCTGCATGGAGTTTACTGGCCTTCAGTATTAGCCCTATTAAATGACAATAAAGTATGGTTAACTTCAGTAAGACTTCCCAGTCTTTTTTTTTTTTTTTTTTTTTTTTTTTTTTTTGCTTTTTGGTCACACCCAGCAATGCACAAGGGTTACTCCTGGCTCTGCACTCAGGAGTTACTCCTGGCGGTGCTCAGGGGACGATATGGGATGCTGGGAATCGAACCCGGGTCGGCCGTGTGCAAGGCAAACGCCCTACCCGCTGTGCTATCTTTCCAGCCCCAAGACTTCCCAGTCTTACAGAATGAAACTCTGCCTCCAAACCATCTGGTCACCAAGGCACATAATGTTCTCTGCAACAAGCAGATAACAGCCAGCATGACTGGTTCCCAATTACCTTGACCTATACAAGAATATACTTTATGTTTTATTCTCTGAATTGCATGTTATGAATGCAAGGTCATGACATCAAGCCATGGTATGAAAATAAGTGTAATTTCCTAGCACCACCACCAACATAGGAAGCAAGAGAGAGAGGGCTGTCTTCCCAGCTGCAGAAAACAGCTTAGCCTCTGCTCTTCACAGGAATGAGGGCCTCTGGATGTCCTTTCAAGGGACATGTATTAATAGTCTTCCTGTGACAGCAATCTCCAAGATAAAATACTTTCCTTCCCAAGGTTTTCATCAAAGGCCTCAAAAGTGTTTCAAGAAACAACCCTAAGAGTTTAATATATTATAAAAAGTTTAAGGGGTATGGTACTGCCAGCAGGTCAATCTGTACCTGTGAGGCAAGTGCATCAGCAGCCTGATGGTGCCTTCAGACTTCCAGATACCCCAAAATTGCTCCTGTGCCTTTGGCCAGACCCCAAAAACTTCGGGCGAAGTTTACCAAGAAAGTAAATGGCCAAAAGTTAGGTATGTGAGAGACACACCCACAAACCACCTCTGGCTCAGCTATATAATTGGAGGCATGGTCTCTCTGGTTCCTGATTGAACTGCTTAACGGCCATGATCCCAGAGACTCAGAAACAAATCTCGAAACCCAAAGGCTTTTGGCAGAAATATGTCTGGACCCCACAGTAGGTTACGGGCTACCCCAGGGGGGAAAGGATGTTGTTCCTCCGCCTGCTCTCCCTTGGAGGCTCAGTGGCCGCCATCCGACAGAGGCCATTGGACAGTCAGGTTTGGGCCTGCAGTGACGAGATACGCGGAGCCTCACGGGATGGGTGTGGAGCCGGCCCTTTCCTCCCCGTCCCAACAAGACCCCGAGTCGTCGCCCACAAATGGCCTCTCTGGCTCCTGATCAAGCTGCTTAATGGCCAGGATCCCAGTGACTCAGAAACAAATCTTGAAACCCAGCGGCTATTGGCAGAAATGTATCTGGACCACACAATAGGTTACTGTTGTCAGGCCACCCCAGGGGGGAAAGGATGCTGTCCCTCCGCCTGCTCCCCCTTGGTGGCTCGGTGGCTGCCATCCACCAGAGGCTATTGGACAGTCAGGTTTGGGCGCGCAGTGACGAGACACGCAGGGCCTCACGGGATGGGGGTGGAGCCAGCCCTTTACTCCCCATCCCAACAGACCCCGAGTCACCGCCCACATACGGACTTTCTGGCTCCTGATCAAGCTGCTTAATGGCCATGATCCCAGAGACTCAGGAACAAATCTCGGAACCCAGAAGGTTTTGGCAGAAATCCCTCCAGATTTATTTGTTAAAAATTTAGGAATTTCAAAATCGCATGGCCACTGCTGCAGCCGCGCGACATCATATGTTATTCATAACCAGCAATAGAAAACAAATTGTCTACTATTGCCTTTTCGGCAGATCTGAGTGTTGGGGTAAAATCCCAAATAATAATGGTGGGTCTGGTGTCAAAATACTGAATGTAATCAAAGTAGAGAGAGAGTAATGTGGAAATCATCTGTCCCACAGGTAGGGGGAGGGCGTGGGATAGGGGTATACTGGGTTTTTTGGGGGTGGAAAATGGGCACTGGTGAAGGTACGGTGTTTCATTGTATGACGAAGACTTAAACCCAAAAGCTTTGTAACTGCTCTCACGGTGATCCAATAAATGAAATTATAAAAAATGAAAGAAAAAAAAAGTAAGGTGGAGTTCATGCCCAATTCAATCAGCTAATCAGTGGCTGAATAAATAGCAGTACTCCTACATTAAAAAAAGAGTTTAATATCAACTATGCCCCCATCAAAATAATTAGCAGGTATTCCCTGACACCCCTTTATAAAAGAGTGGTCTGACCTTAAAATTCAATCTAGGGTGGTAAGGTAATACAGGTGCTTGCATAGAATACAACAAGCCCAGCTTGATCCAGGGCACAGCATTTGGTCTCTCAAGCATCACCAGGAGTCACTCCTGGGTAGAGTCAGTACTAGCACACTAGCACTGTTGAGTGTAGCCTCAAAATGCAAATAATAATGATTAATAACATAACATAAAAATGGTCTTTTTTTAATTAATCCATTCATAAGTACATAGGTCAGAGAAGAAACTATTCCTCTAAATACTGAATCTAGGAGAAAGAAACACCATTCAAGGCATCTGAATATGCAGATGAATGAAATGTAAATTGTTGATTCACACATTCTCAAAAACAAGAAAAATATTCGTTAAAAAATATCTTTCATCTGAACACTGATAACAGGAGTGAAATTACAAGTGAGATGAAAGGCACCAGGTCTGAAATACAATCAGAGAAACAACACCAAGACAAAAATAATAAGAAAGAGGAAGAGACATGTCAACTGGCTAGAATGGAAAGGAGGACAAGGTTCCATCCCCCTTACTGCTACCTTCTCCCAACATACACAACACACCTTGCTCTGCACCAAGCTAGAAGTGGTCCCTGAGCACTGAGGGTGTAGACCAAAAACCAAAATGATAATAATAAAAGAGTTTATTATTTACCCAAGCAACAGTACAGCCGATGGGCATTTGCCTTGGAAGAAGTTCAATCCACAGCACCCTATATGGTCCCTTGAGTACTGCCAGGAGTAATTCCTGAGTGCAGAGCCAGGAGTAACTCCTGAGCATCACTGGTTGTGGAAAAGAGAGAGAGAGAGAGAGAGAGAGAGAGAGAGAGAGAGAGAGAGAGAGAATAATAAAAGAGCAAAATATTTCTGGGGAATGGAAGAGCCGGAGTCAGATACACTCTCAGAGTCAGAGTCAGAAGTCTGACTGTTAGAGTCAGAGTCAGAGTCTGAGCTGTGCTCAGAGTCCGAAGCACAACTGGGTATGTCTCTGGGTATGCCTCTCCATTCACCTCAAACACACAAAGAGAGGAGGAGCGGAGAGGAGAGGGGAGAGGATAGAGAAGGGGGGGGGGGGGGGAGAGAGAGAATGAGAATGAGAATATTACAACTGAGCATTAAGTGCAATTCTAAGGGAGGTGCAGGTAGGGAGCTCGTGGAGGTGTGAGCTGTTAAGTCCTCAGCTGACTGGAGCTGACTGGGCGTGTTGAGCTGCAGTGAGGCTCTGCAAACACAGATGTTTCTTACCTCACTAAGTTAAAGCAAGGATGAGTTTTTGCTGTCATTACTACTGGTCATTACTTCCCCACCTGGACTCATACAATCCTGAGTTCAGTAGGATCATACTGAACTTAAAGCAAAGGAGGCATAACCCATTAACACGAGTTAATTGGTCTTCCAGGGTCTACAGAAGAATTAATCAAAAGGAGCCCATTCCAGAGATTATCATGGGGACAAGGTCAGATCAGTGCAAGGCCACGCTGTAGAGGGGGCTCAGGACTAGCGAAAAGACAAAGAGAGGCAGACGGGGTTCTTTGTCTACTCACTCCGGGACATCAGCGGCCCTTTCCTTCGAATTTCGGCGCGAGGGTTGGCAAAGTATTAACCCTCTAATCTTCAGTTCCACAGGTCTTGCTGTACTACTCCAGACCTAACTAGCAGTTGGCCGAAAGGGGCCGGAGCATCTAGCAGCTTTGGAGGCGCTTCCTCCACGCAGCCCTCCTAGGATTTTCCACCAGGGATGCTTCGGATTCCAAAAACCCTCGACCCCAACACCACCGAAACTCCACAGGGTGTGGCACGCAGAGCTGTACAAGAGGCAAATCCTTCCTTGTAATAAGCAAAGGGCTTACGAAGCGGAAATTATACGCGGCCAAGACTCAGTGGGTGGACTGTCGCGGCGCCCTCGCCCCTGCAGTTGTGGGAGGAGAAAGGAAGACCCCCCACCCCGGAGCTCCAGGGTTCAAATCTGCAGCGGGTTTCAGCTTCCAGTAGTGCCCCCGACCCTCTCAGAGACCTTGAAAAACAGCCCGGGGAATGGGGGTTGGCTGGGGGTAGGGGGCCGGAGCGGTAGTACAGCGGGTAGGGCGTTTGCCTTGCACGTGGCCTACACCCCAATTCGACCCACAGTATCCCATAGGGACCCCTGAATCCCGCCAGGAGTAATTCCTGAGTGCAGAGCAGGATTAGCCCTGACCACAGCTGGGTGGGACCCCTAAAATTAAACAAAACACCTATGAAAAACATTTCAAACTGCCTCTGAAAGCTGAGTCTTTTGTTGCTCTTGGTTGGCACGTTTGAGTTGGGCCACATGCTGTGAGGAAGAGGGTGCTAGTCCCAGCTCGGTGCTTGGAGGTATCTACTGACTGTGACTGTGCTGGCTTCAGCCTTCAGCCCTTAGAGCTATTGCCCCGCCCAGTTATTAACTGGAGCCTTGGGGCGGGGAATCGGCTCCTCCCACTGAAACTTTCCTGCGATTTTAAAGGAAAACACCAGGAAAAAAAACCACCCAAGATTTCGCAGCACTTGTGGGAAACCGCTTCTGAAGTCTTACTCCCTCCCTGACACCCTTGGGGAAATTTCAACAGTCAATTCTAGACACCCACGGGCGCTACCGCAATTTGAGAGTTCACTTCCTGTCCCCTTTGCGAAACACACACGCAGATCTCCAACAGCCTTTGTTCCCAGACTTTGAGCTGTGCACAAGGAAAAGCGTGTGCACTGAGCTCCTCATCCGAGCAAGCAGGGACACTGAGAACGCTTCCTTTGTACACTCCCAGAGCCTTTTTTCAAAGGGTGTGGAAGGAAAGGGGGAGGGGAGGGGAGCCAGGAACGTGTGGGAGGGGGCAGGGCAGGAACTGAGTCGAAAACAAGTTCTCCACCTTGCAAGTACCCGAGCGCTCCTTCTCATTCCAAACTTTGGCAAGGCAAAAAGTTTTCTTGGTCAGCTGTCCGAAAGAATCTATTGCACTGCCACGAGAAATAACCCTGACCCAGCCAATTGCGACAGAGTGAAAATGCAGCCGGGCAGCTTCCACCCAGCCCCCAAGCGCTCTGGGGCACCAACACCAGAATCCTGCTGGTCTCGACTTCACAGTCAGAAGTCAGTCACTTGGGGCCGAAGCAATAATAGTACAGCGGGCAGGGCGCTTGCCTAGCACGCAACCGACTCCGGGTACCCCATAGGGTTCCCCCCTCCCACCAAGAGGCCGCCAGGAGTGACCCCTACCCCCGCCCCCTTAGCGCATAGTCAAAAAAGTAAGCCTTGAGTACTGGCAGGGTGTGCCCCAACCAGGGGGAGAGCGACTGAGAAACTTGTTTGTTTACTTTAGTTTTCGGTACTCCCCCCACCCCCGTGAGCTTACTCCGGGCTCTGTGCCAGGGATCACTCCTGGAGAAGCTGGGAGGGGGAGGGGAGCTAGAACCCGGGTTGGCTGCGTGCAAGTTCAACGCCTTCATTAAGCCTGTAGGGTCTCCCCAACCCTGATCTCTTTAAGCGACGTTTACGGAACGCTGTGGGGGTGGGGGAAGCGGCAGGAAAGTTGGCGTCCAGCTTAAGCACCTCTTGGAACTGCCACGTCGAGCAAGGGGGGTATTGGGAGTCCACCTACAAGTTGACCCGGAAGGCCAGGTGGGCGGTAGGCGCGAGAGAGGAGTGGAGGTGGCAAGTGGAGGTGGGGGACGTGTGCCCCCATCCGGCGCCGTACCCGCCGAGTTAAGGATCAGCAAAACTGAGTCACCAGCCCGAGGGCCCACCCCTTCCCCGGTCCCTTTCTGGAACCCACAGTCGCGGGTCAGTTCTGAGAAGCGAAGAGTCCGGGGGTGGAGAGTGGGCAGCAGCCCCGCAGTGGGGCGCCGGGACTCGGTGAAACCAGCCCTGGGAAACCGCAGGGCCCGGTCGGGGCCACTTACCGCGCGCGCCCCTGGCCGTGTGCTCCAGCCGCGGCGCCACGTCGGCCCTCTCCCAGCCCCAGACGCCCCGGGCAGGAAAAACTGAAAGCCCGGACTCTGGTTGGGGAGGGAGGGGGGCGCCGCTCAGCCTTCCCTCCGAACGTCGGAGGGGCTTCACAATTCCAGGAACCACCCCCCTTCCCCTACGCCAGCCACCGAAGAGTCCCTTGACATTTGGGGAATTGCTGGTTAGGAGAAACGCCGTTTCCGGACGCTGACGGCCTCAAACTGGCTGTGCTGAACGCGGTTTAAAGCCGTTCTTCCAGTTAACTACTTGTTGCCTAACAAGTTTTCGAGTTTGCTCAAGGCTTCAAGGTTACGCGACTGGAGTGGAGTAGATGCTAGAAAAACAGGTTTACTCCGGGATTAGCAACCCGAATAGATGGCAGACTCAGGTCAAAAAAATGAAAGAAAGAGAAAGAAAGAAAAATCGTGTCCGCGGGATCATAAAAAGCTTTTTTTTGGTTGTGTTTTGTTTTGTTTCAGGGCCACACCCAGCGGTACTCAGGGCTTACTCCTGACCCTGAGCTCAGTGAGCACAACTGGCTGGTGGTTTGGCTGGTTGGCTGGGTGAGCGCGGGGGGGGGGGGGGGGGGGGGGGGGGGGGGCGCGGCGGCGGCGGCGGCACTGTATGGGATGCCAGGGATCCAAGGGACCTGAGTCAGACGACGCAAGGCCAATGCCCTACTCCTTTCTGCTGAAGAGATGTCTCCAGCACCACACAAAAAAAAGGCTTTTCCTAAGCAAAGAGACGTAGGTAAACATGGCAATCGAATTCCTAGGAGGTAATAAAACCAATAGCACCAAGGCTGCAAAAAGACCACCTTGCAGGAACTAAGGCTTGATAAGACTTCACTTCAGGCCCCCACCCCACCCCAGAGAACCTCCAGCAGGAAGCAAGGCCATGGAAAGCAGTTTCAAAGATCATTACCACTCCCAACTCTACACCGTTGGCAACCGCCCTAGCAACAGACTCTTACCTAGCTAGACGCCCCACGTGGGACAGCCTGGGAAAAACCCTATAAAAATCAACTTGAACAAAGGAAGCATGTGCGCATGCTGCTGGAACCCATGTGCTCTTTGGTGGCCACGTGGCCAACCACATGTTGGTGGCTGCACCCTTGTTGATGTCGGTGGGCCCCACGGGTGACTTATGTGAAGTGGGGAGGAGAAAGACGGCCACTTTCTCCCCACCCGCCTCTGCCACCCGGAACCCTGGGTAGGCTAGGACCGGTAAAGTCTGCAGTGAGCACCTGCTCAACACAGGCCTAAGCCCCACCAGCCCCACAAGGTGGCCGTCAAGCCACACCTGAAGTCCGCTTGATCTTCTCAGCACGGGAGTTAATCCCCGCCACCCGATTGCTCGGGGAGCCACGGACTCAAGCTGGGGTGAGAATTTGCTCTTTGCAGGAAAGGAGAGACCAGTCCCAAGCCTTACCCGGGGTTTCTAGGGTTCTTGTCTCGCTCGCAGAAAAGAATTTCAGGAGTAGCTGAGCAGTGAAGTAACAGGTTTTATTTGGAGGCTTTTGGAGAGGGAGAGAAAGGGATAAGCAGATAAGCGGGGGGAGGGGGGGGTTAACTCGTCCAGAGGGAACACAGGCTTCTCAGAGGGTGGAGAGAGCCCCAACTGGGCTCTTGAGCTGGCCTTTATAGGATTTCTCCAACCTGCCCCCACAGTGGGCTTCTACTTAGGTCAAAGTCCGTTGCTAAGGAGGTTACCAAGGGGGTTGGGAATGGTGATGGTCCTCTTTGAACTTCCTTTCCTGGCCTTGTGCCTTTCATTCCTGCAGAAACTTCTTTGTTGGTGGCTGCCAGGTGAGATCTTGCTTCCTGTTTTTCCTGTTTTCTGCAAGGTTGGCTTTTGCCATTGCCTTGGGAGGGGGTCTTCCCTGTCTACCTGCCTACATCAGTGGCACTTGCAGCAAATCTCCAGAGATGTGTACTGGGATTCTCTCCCCCTTTGGGGAAGTCCACATTCTCTCTTGAGTGTGTGACACTCAGTTTCCCTCCTTCCCTTTCCTTAAAAAATTTCTAAATAAAATCTGTTTTTACTTCAAGGTTCATCTACTACCAAAATTCTTTTCTGTGAGAAAGGACCAGGATGCCCTGGGTAAGGTCTAGGGCTGGCTTTCTTTTCCTGCAAAAATCAACCCCTCACTCCAGCCTGAGTCCACGATGCCCCTAGAAATTGGGTGATGGGAATTAATTCCCATGCCAGTGCAGTCAAGTTGATGTAGGCAGGTAGATAGGGAAAGGCTCTCTGCAATGAAACAAAGTCTCATAGAAGAAGAATTCTAGGACGGACCCACCCTGTGAACACAGAGAATAAAGACTTGATAAGACCATCCCCAGACCCTGAAGATATGGGCCTCCTCCCCATGAAATTCCTCCTTTCCGAAAACCCCCTTTCAATCCGGTTAACTCCAGCGACCCAGCCCCAAGGAGATTCCAGAACATTCTGAGTCAGAAGGATCTATAAGAGCCAGCTCGAGAGCCCACTTGGGGCTCTCTCCACCCTCGGAGAAGCCCGCGTTCCCTCTGGACGCGTTACTCTCTCTCTCTCTTACTCTCCATTCCCCCCGCTTATCTGCTTATCCCTTTCTCTCCCTCTCCAAAAGCCTCCAAATAAAACCTGTTACTTTACTGCTCGTCTACTCCTGAAATTCTTTTCTGCGAGAGAGACAAGAACCCTAGAAACCCCGGGTAAGGCTTGGGACTGGTCTCTCCTTTCCTGCAAAGAGCAAATTCTCGCCCCAACTTGAGTCCGTGGCTCCCCGAGCGGTCGGGTGGCGGGGATTAACTCCCGTGCTGAGAAGATCAAGCGGACTTCAGGTGTGGCTTGACGGCCACCTTGTGGGGCTGGCGGGGCTTAGGCCCGTGCCGAGCAGGTGCTCACCGCAGACTCTACCGGTCCTAGCCTACCCAG